TGCTTCCCAACAGCATCAAACCCAGGGCAAATTACCTGTGTGGAGATGGCCATTTTTGGCCTTCCATCCTGTGACTGCAACCTGACCTCTAAAATTGAATTCTTAAATCTTGATAAAAGTTGTTTTAAAAGGTGCAAACTCCTCCCTTTTTCCTGTTCTAAGCTCAATTTTGTGCATGCTCTGATTCAACCAGAAGGCAAATTCAGCCTTTGAGTGCCAGTCTCAGGTCAAAAACAGACACTGATGCAGCCATTCTGGCATTACAATATACATCAACCTTGCTATGGATGACTGTGCATGGAACTGAGACTCAGCCTTCACTTCTTTTAGGTTTCCCCAAGAAACAGAATGCCTCCCAAATGTTATTGCTTACCATAATCTGTATCATCTGCAGCCCATTTCTGCGTTGGCCAAAAGTACGGTGTCTGCAGAAAGCCACACAAAAACAAAGGTCCAAGTTATCTGTCATTTCATCCCCCTAAATCACACCTGCTGAGATACCAGGGTATACTTTCAACACTTATTCCTTTGCTTATTTTAAAATCTATATAACATATTTTTATATAATATTGATCAGCATTGTAAAACATAAAGGTCAATGTGGAATGATTGCAGACCACTCCCTCTCTATTCATGAATCCATGTGGAAATTCCAGATGCAAACATTTTGTGGCCTTTCCCAGTTTTTTGTTGGACTAGCTAAGATCACAAGAATAGCCCACAAGAAACAGAGGGTAAAATGGAAGAACTAAGTCCCTCTTCTCCCTGGATTTAGACATGTATTATGAACTTGGTTGCAATTTCCCAGAACCAGCCATGACCCATCTATGTCTGATTCAGACAAAAGTACAGATCCCTGTCCACCTGCAAAAGGTAAATTGCATGTGTGTAGCTTCTATTCTGATTGGGGCAACATGGATAGAGGTGATGGGATTTAACCCTTCAAGCCCTGCTTGGTTCTGCCACTAGAAATCTGGCTCCCAAACAGGGCCAGCTCCAGGTTTTTTTGAACACTAGGCAAGGCTGCCTTCTGGCGCCCCCCCCGCGACCCCAATTAGGGGTTGCCAACCTCCAGGTGGGGCCTGGAGAGAAGGAAGACTAGTGTGCGGGGAGCCGAGGACTGGTGTTGGGTGGGTGGAGTCTCCCCCACCGTGGGGCCCTGTGGAGCCCAGAGACCGGCTGCCCCTCCCCGCATGCCCATGACTGGAGGGGGGTCCTGCGGGCCAGGCAAGAGCTCTCCGGTCCCTCCCCGGTGTCGCGGGGGCTCCTGAAGACCGTGCCTCGAGTCCTCCTCCCCCACCCCACCTTGGGCACATCTTTCCGGGGGCTCGCCCTCGGGCTCTGGGCCGCGACTTCCTCTCCTGATGGGAAGCGCCGCTCGCGGGGAAGGTAAACTTTGCAGGCAGCGATGTTTAGGCGGCTCCTCTGGGCTGCCCTGCTGAGGAACGCTGGCCCAGTTCTGCCGCCACCGCCGGGCACATCATCCTTCCCTGCCCGCCGAGCCAGGGGCACTCACTAGCCTGCAGGTGCTGCCCGGCAAAGAGAAGAGAAGCCCCTCGGGGACGGAGATGGGCAGCCACGGCATGTTGGTCTTTGGGGGGGGGCCCTGCGGGCCAGGCAAGAGCTCTCCGGTTCCTCCCCGGGACACCGGGCTGCTGCAGGAGCTGCTGCCCGTCAGCGGGGATTCCCGAAGACCATGGGCTCGCTCGGGCACATGGGGAGGGGCGCCTTCGAGTGGGGAGGAGGAGTCTCCCGGCTGTGCCGCTTCACAGGGCTCCGCGGAATGCGCGCCGCCGCCAGGAGAGCGCCGTCCCCGCAGCCCCGCTGGTTGCACTGCCTTCCCCCCCCCCAGGCAAGCTCCAGGTGTGCTGCCCCGTGTGCTTCAGAGCCTTGCGCCGCCGCCCCCCGCCCGCAGGAGCCAGGCCGCGGAGCGGTCCAGCTGTGGCGCTCAGGGCAGCAGGCTCTTTGGCAGGGGCGCAGTTTGGCGCCCCTGAGGGCCGGCACGCCCTAGGCGAGCGCCTAGTTCGCCTAGCGGGCGAGCCGGCCATGCTCCCAAAGCTGCTGTTAGTGCTTTAAAGTAAAATAGATGCCTTCTCTAAAAACCAGTCTTTCCCCCTTGGAAATGCTAGCATAAGTGCAGTTTCCAATTAGAAAAACCGAGCAAGGGTTGTAACACTAAATTTCCCTTCCCATGAGGCTGTGATCTGAAGCAAGTCTGTATGCATATACAATTTGCCTTCTACATATGAATAGAGATTTGGGATCTTCCTCATGTCTGTTTTGGGAAAACAAGTTTTGTATATTTCTGCTGTCCACATCAAGTGAGGAGTCAGGGTGTCCCTGTTTTGCGTGTGTTTCTGTGGGGGCACATGCACCCACAATGTATGTTTGTGTGAAGAAACAAATGAAGAACTGAGAAGTGAGTGTACAGACAGACTTATGGGCAGAGAAAGAGAGAAAGTGGTGCTATAGGATACAGAGAATAAAAGGAATAACATGGAACAGTATGAAGGAAAGGGAGGTTACAGAGATGGTGGTACAGAAGCATATGTGAATTCATGGCTCTTATTTTCCTTGGAAACTCCTGCCCCGTTTCACATTTTTCTTTCTTTTAAATGTTATTATTTATTGTTATTAGTTCTGCAACACTGCTTTATCTTTGTGATAGTTTCACTGTGCTTTCAATCTTGCATTTGTTGTAATAAATTAATAAATCCACGCTAACTCCACATCACACCAGACTCTACTTCTTGGGTTATCATCTGCTTTGGCTGTTGCTCCACTTACTTGAAATCTGTAGAGGCTGTTGTCTGGTCTGAGAGTAAGATTTTTGAGATCTTGAAGAGGATAGATATATCCATATTTAATAGTCATACTTCCCAGGTTTAATGCCTCTATAAAGGAAAATATTGACTGCTGTGATTGGTACACACAGAGTGAAGCTAAACATTTAAAATCAATCCTCTGTTTAACAGAGAAGAATTCAGACTTTCTCAAAACACTTGCCACTGCCAAGTTTTATGCCCCTTCCTACCTTCGCCACCAATCTGCAGGTGCTGCATAATCCACTGGCATATATCCAAACCTGCAAGGCAAAGACAACAACACACCTGTAACACAGAGTTGCAGGAGTTGCACAAAACTGCACTGTCTGACCTGCTGACAGCAGTAATAATCTTGTATATAAACTCTGAGGAGACTACGGTTCCAAACACATAAAAAACCACCCTAAGCCACTGACATCTGAAAACCAAACTGGAAACAAGACAAAAGTATTTTTAGAGAACCAAAGGCAGTCTGGAAAAGGAATTGCTGCTCATGCTGTCTGCATTCAACCCAGTTTAGTTTCTGATAAACAGGTGTTATTCCAAAAACATGCAAAATCTGTTTCTAGAGTTGTAGAAGACAAATGTCCATGTACACACCAGGAAAGGAAACATTTTTCAGACTGCAAGGATGGGTAAAGACAGATACATGCACTAGTTCTTCTGGGCACTCTGTACATGCACTGGTTCTGCTGGGCACTCTGTACATGCACTGGCTGTGTTAGGCTTGCAACCCCCCTTGCTTGGATTTGTTGAGCTGGCATTGCCACAGTAGCACTGTTTCTGCAAAAATGACCCCCCCTTCAGTTTCTACTGCAGAGACTCTCTGGTTTGACATCAATCCCTGCTTTTTTCCCTGTTTTTCCCTCCATTGGAAATAATGGAGAATGGGGGCACCTTTTTGGGGGCCCATAGAATTGGACCCTTTGGTCTAATCTTTGTGAAACTTGGGGGGGGGGTGAGGAGAGGCACCAGAAGCTCTGCTGAAAATGTGGTACCTCTATCTCAAAAAACAGCCCCCCAAACCCGCACATGTCCCTGGATAGATTCCCCATTATAGCCTGTGGGGATCATTGACTTTAATGGTCCCCATAGGCTATAATGGAGCCAAAGGCATTTAAAGGTGTCAGGCATTTAAATGTCCAGAATGACATTTAAAGGAAGTGCACTCTCTGTAAACACCATTTAACTGCAGCTATCCTGTTTATCTGGATAATCCCGATTCTTTTTCAGGATTATCCGGGATTGGTTACGCTTGATAGCTGAAAATACATCTCCTTCTATATCCAGCTGAAAGAATATCTGATAAATACCAATAAGATATTTTCTGGCTATTTTTCGGCTTGGATAGAGCTGAATGCATATCCTTAATTGCCACAAGGGTCAGCCAATCATCATTCTGTAAAGCCAGTTTCTCATGAATGCAGGAAAAATCTGTTTCTCTTGCCTCAATTCAGTTTGAAAGTTTGTGTGCCTGTTAGGTCTCAGAAATGCAAGACAAAAGAAGGTATTCTACTGCTGCTAAGAAATAGAACCAGAAGCCTAATTGCAGCTCTTTATTTAGTTCCAAAGTTTTGATGCCATAACAGAGAAGGCCATTTTTTGGGTTGCCATCCACCTGCCCTCAGATGGTGGGGGCAACTGAAGCAGGGCTTCCAAGGATGACTGAATTGAGTGGACATGTTTCTATGGGAGAAGGCACTCCTTAAGGTATGTCAGTCTCATGCCATACAGGGTTTTAAATACCTTGAATTTAAATACCAGTACCTTGAACTGAGCCCAGAAGAAAACTGGAATGAGAAGGTGGAACAATACCGGAACAATATGGTCCCTACAGCCCACTCTAGGACCCCACCCCCTCCTCCAGCTGAGACCCCCTTGCTTAGTTACTTTGGATTTAGTTGTTTTAATAGGCACCCCCTTTTACAGCCTAAGTGCCAAGGGGATCTGAAATGTGGGGAGAATCAAAGGCACCTGGGTACAGCCATGACACTGGAAAACTCCAGGGATGGAGAGAGAGGATGTACTGGCATTACAAACGGATTAAGTGGAATCTACCAGAGCTCAGGGTTCTCAATAGCAAATGGATTTTCAACACTGGAATAGCCTGGCATACTCCAGAGGGGTTTGCCCACTCCAGGAGGAGGAGATTGGATTTATATCCCACCCTTCACTACCCGAAGGAATCTCAGAGTGGTTTACAATCTCCTTTCCCTTCCCCTCCCCACAACCCTGTGAGGTAGGTGGGATTGAGAGAGCTCTTTTGAGGACTGCTCTTGAGAGAACAGCTCTAACAGAATTTATGGCTGACCCAAGGTCACACCAGCAGCTGCGTGTGGAGGAGTGGGGAATCAATAGCAAGGAAGTTGCTATTACATTAACCAGTTCACAGTTCCTCTTTTTCCTTTTTTTTACTCAAACAAGGGCACTCAAGTCATTAATTTATGCTCCATCTGGTTTCAGGAGCTATCTCGACTCACTCACTTTGTGTCAAAGCAGATCTGGCTCACCTCAACCTAATTAAAGTTATGTTAATCATGTTGCCAGGGCTATTTTTAGGCAGGAACACACAGGAACAGAGTTCCGGCTGGCTTCAGAGCTGGCCACACCCCCTACACACAAAACCTCTGCATGTGTGGCTACAGAGGGAAGACCTGGAGAGCGACACCTCCCCCAGCGATTCTGAGGTAGGCAAGCCAGGGGGGCCCCTGGAAGGATCGGGAAGGCATTTAAATGCCTCCCCGTGCCTTCCTTGGCCTGTCCAAGGGCCGAATTGCCCGGGTGCCTCGCAGCCGCTGGGCACCCGGACAAGCCAAGGGAAGGCTTGCCTGGGCACCCCACAGCTGCGGGGCACCCAGGCAAGACAAGGGAAGGCATGGGGGTGTGGCCTAATATGCTAATGAGCTGTGGCATTGGGTGTGGCCTAATATGCCAATGACTTTCTGTTGTTGGGTGTGGCCTATTATGCTAATGAGTTCCTGCTGGGCTTTTTCTACAAAAAAAGTCCTGATGTTGCCTCACCCAGGCTCTTTGTGCCCGTAAAGATTTGGCACATAATGGCCAAATCAAGGTATTTCCCCCACTTTTTCCCAACAAAGTTTGACAGCAGTTAACTTTAAACCAGCCAGTGAGACTCAAACTTTTTATCTTGACCCAGACGGCCCAAATTCCACCTGCCCTGGTATAAACAAATTTACAAGGTCCTGTGTTATTCCTTTCTGGAACCCTTATTAAAGCTAATTTCTCCTTTTCTGGGTCCAGTTTGGGTAACAGCACTCTGGCCACAGCATTCTGTACCAACTGTAGCTTCCAGACCATATTCAAATGTGTATATACAGAGGTAGATTCGGGGGGGATCGCGGGGGATCGCAGTTCCCCCGGGTGAGGTGCGGGGGGCGGGGCACATGACGAAGCCCCACCCCTTGCTTCCGGCCCTCATTCAGCCAGGAGGAGGCAGGAGAAGAGGGAGGGTAAGTTGCTTCCTGCCTGCCTGGGGCCAGAGAGGGCCTTCGCGGGGCTTCCTCGCACTCCCGCCGGCCTTGCAGGTCCACCGCCGGGCCCCTCATTGGCCATCATACTTTTAAAAAAGCACTGATTTTTTTGAGGGGAGGTATAGTCCTCTAAGACTAGCGTGCCACCTGTCCAGGTTGTCCAGAGGTCCCCATCAGCTCAAGAACTGCAGATCTTGGAAGCTAAGCAGGGTTGACTCTGCAAGTATTTATGTCACACTTCCGGTGATGTCAGGGGGTGTGGCCTTATGACACACTTCCGGTGATGTCAGGGGGTGTGGCATATGCTAATGAGTTATGTTAATGAGTTCCCCTAGCTCTTTTTCTACGAAACGACCCCTGTGTATATATATCAGTGGTTGGTGCTGTGTTCAGTTGTATGCTATTGTCAAAGGTCTCTTACCAGTCATGGCATGTGGGATGTTAGTGATCATGACCCTCTGAGTGATCATTTTGATGCCGGAATTCGGATCCTGCATTTCCACTAGCAGAACTTCAAACTGCAAATTATAACAGATGCATGTTATGAATGAAACAGAAGGAAGATAAGAAGAACAGCCTGAGTGTGAAAACTAAACACTTAACACAGGACAGAATTTAAAAATTCCATCAGCCTTATTCACCCTTTCTGGAGATACAAACAGGACTACATATTGCAGACTCTATAGCATTACATCCATGATGAGCTCCCTCCCCATACTCTGCCCTTGCAGGCCCTGCCCACAAACCTCTAGCAATTTCCCAAGCCAGAGTTGGAAACCCTATTAGTCAGGCACTGATTGCCTGTGCTCTCCTGGTCACAATTCAAAGTGAAGGTTATTAATCTTTGAAGGGCCCCGCCTAGAGATGTAAAATTTCTGTAAATGTTGATGCAATGGGGGAAAAACTGTTCTTTTCTCACCCCCCCCCCCCGAGCCATTTTGGAAAAACAGAACTTTATTTGATTTAATAAAATACTTTATCAAACCTAAACATTTTCAGGGCTTTTTTTCTGGAGGAACACGCCAGAACGGAGTTTCGGAACCGCTTTGCGGAAACAAAATTCTCAAAAAAAAATGTTTAGACGTTCATGAGGGGCACTGGGGGAGCATGAGATCTCTTATGACATCACAAAAATGCTAAAATAAATTTTTAAAATAGGATTTAAATGAGGAGATGCCTGGTAGTGGCTGCGGGCAAGCGGAGAAGCAGCCAGACAGCACAGGGGACTTGTTGCCCTTGCCAAGGGCGAGGCGCAGGCTGCGAGCCCAGGGAGAGTCTGGGGCGGGTTTGGATGGGAGAGAGAAAATCAACTGCAGCCTTCCCAACTACAGCGGTGCTTGGATCGCAGCCCCATCGAGCCCAAGCCGAAGCTACTCCGCCACGCTCCCCTGGCTGGCTCCTCTCCTGCACTGAGGCCTGTGCAGCCTTGGCAGGGCACTCCTTATGTGCTCCTTGGCCAGCTCCCCCTACTGTGCCCCAGAGGATTTTCCCAAATGAACCTGGGACCAATTTCCCACAAGAGCTGCGCCGCGGTTACGCCTCCCTTTGCCCCGCTTCTATTGGTCAATTTCCCACTCGAAGCCACGCGGCCGCATTTTGACCCATGGCTTTGCCCGATTTTCCCCACGTTTTCATGATCCTGCTTTTTACTTGTGAATACTGTGGCAACACAATCAAAGAAGGAAATTTTTGGACCACAAGTTTATTTTATAATCACTGGGCTAGTGATTGCACTTTAAAGGTCTTATGTGCATATTTACCCTGTGCCTGGTGATTTTACTTTTGAACAATTTATTTAATGGTCCTGATTGAATCTATACTTTGTATATATGTCTGATTGTGTTTATATGAATATAATTATTAACCATTTGCCACATATGTATGACCTCTGAGGAAGGCCTATTTGGCCGAAACGCGTAAGGTCAACTTTGTCAGCCCTTGATATTTGTATATTTTGTATATTTTATATATATTGGTTGTAAATGGGCCTCTATATATGTTTTAAAATTTGTGATTATTAATAAATACATGTACCTCTTTTTATTTTTTATGGAAAGGTTTTAATATTGGCCCTCCTTTTCACTAACCTTTGTTTGGTTCTGGAGTTTCTTGTAAGGTTCAGTTTTTTTTCTCTTTTTGTTTTTGCTTGCAAAGTATTTGAGCTTCAGTTTCATTATCTGGCCTTCCAGGGAACAGTCAGGGTTGATTTCTTTTAGGGTTGACTGATTTGATCTTCTTGCAGTCCAAGGGACTCTCAAGAGTCTTCTCCAGCACCATAGTTCAAAATAATCTATTCTTCGGTGCTCGGCCTTCCTTATAGTCCAACTCTCGCAGCCATACATGACTACTCCAGAGGTATCTCAGTATAAATTACTGCATGTGTAGACACAATAGTGGTGAGAAAAATAAACCTTTCTCTGTTGCCTTCACCACCACTGTATAGGCTTTCAAATCGGCTCTATATTGTATTTAGTCCTGGTCTTACACTACCTATCCACTTCCCTTTGATGACCTTTGGTTACTTGGAATACCAAGGCTAGTCCCTGTAGAAAAACAGGACCACTAACTGTCCACTGTTTCAGTGATCTGTCCAGTAATCCTACATCAGGCCACCAGCATCAGGACCTGAAAAACCAGTGAGCTTCACAATGAACTAACCAAGACCCTGCAGGCCATTATTCATAGACTAGGAAATACGGCTCCTTGCGGAAAGAAATGCAATGAGCTCTAGAAAGAGTAAGCAAGTAAGAGAAGAGTAAGGCTGTACTGAGGTTCATGGAGGCCCCACGCAGCGATGGGCCTGGACGCCCAGCCTCTCACTCGCTCATGTCATGTTGTCTCTCTGCTGGGGCAGCCCCATTGTCCCATGGCCCGGCCGGCTCCATCCCTGCAGCCTCCCACATCAGCACCACCACCACGCCGTCCCCCCCCGAGCAGGAGCTGCATCGCTGCTGGCCCTTGCTCTCCCCGCGCCTCCCTTTCTTTCCCATAACCGGTGCTTGCGTGAAGCTGCAGAGCTGGCTCTGGAGTGGGTGGCGTGGTGCCCCGTCCTCCACCTGGGCAGTTCTCGTGGCTTTTCAACAATGCTCCTCCCCTGCCCCGCCTCTCAGCCATTGTAAAGAGCAGGAGGCGGGCAATGTAGGCGGCGGATGAGGTGGAGCCAGGTTGAGCGGCCGTCACCTGGGAGGAGAGGTGAGGGCGGCATAAGGAGGGAACCCTGGGTCCCTGCTCCATTCATGGGGTGCGAGAGGGATGGGGGGGCAGCAGGAGAGGACTGAAGTGAGGGCTCCTCTCCCCAGTCCTGATGCTGCACATGAGCCGGAGGAAAGGAGGAGGCTGCCATGGCATTCACCTAGAGTGCCAGGCCCTGGATGGGGCAGCGGACACTGGATGGGGCGCTGATCTCCCCCCCACCGTGAAGAGCTGCTTTGAGCCACTGCAGCCGGTCCCCGCTCCCACCCTCCACCCAGTCCACCCCGCACCTGGCCTGCGCCCTCAGCCTGCTTCAGACTCTGCTCTCTGGGTCATGGTGCTGCTGCTGCTCCAGGTGCCTGTCAGAGGGAATGCTGGCTGGCTGTCTCTGGGTCTCCGGGTGCACCCTGATGGCCTTCCCGCCCTTCCAAGAAGGGAACCAGCCAGCCCACGCCCCCCGTCAAGGTGACCACTTGGAAGAACTGCGGCTCCGAGGCCTCCACTCCACCTCCTGCACCTGCCCGCCTTCGGCCTCCCTTCCCTCCCTCCCATGCCACAGTCGGCACCCCAGGGGGGGCTCGGAGCTGACCTCTCACCTCGCCTCGGAGAGGCCACCCAAGCAGCAGCAGCAGCCTTTCCCCAGATTGCACCAGCCGGGCGGAGGGGGGCAGGCAGGTGCTCCTGGTTGTGCACGGCAGCGGCAACGGGGCTGGGCGGCCGGAGAAGCAGCGGCGAGGCACGCAGGATGGGCAGCCGCCCCTTGCCGCTGCTGCTTGCCACAGGTAAGAAAACGGGATTGGGATGGGGCTGGCCGCCGGCGTCCCCTCCGCCGCCCTCCCTCCCTCCACGCCGGGCGCCTTGTTGGTTCGGGCTCCGCAGCACTGCCCAGGCGGAGAAGGCGTGGCGACGCTTCGCCGGCAAGGCCCAGGGAGTGGGTGGAAAAGCCGAGCTCCACCCCGAGGCACTGCGCACCAGCTGGGAGGTTTGCAGGCCCCACCGGGAGGTTGGCATCTGCGCTCACCTAGAGCACAGGAACACCTCGGGTTGGCCCTGGCTGAAAGTCCCATCCGCCCCTTCCATCAGCTCCGAGCACACTGAGCACAAGACGCTGGATGCCGCCTCTGTGGGCAGGTGGGCGGGACTTCAGCCACGCAGCCATTGGCAGACCATCTCACAGGTCCAGGAGCT